ACAAAAATATCACTCCATGCGTCTTTCAAATTCTCATTTAGGTTTTTGCCAGCTCCATTGCCCTGTCTTAAAAACCATGTTCCTTGGAGACAACATTGTTAGGAGCAAATAAATAATGGATTTTAACATGTCTGACAAGCAACATTTTTCATTTAAATTAAAAATCTTTGTAAATGCAACATTAACACTGAGAATTTTAACAGACACAAAAAGGTTCACATTAATACTACAGATACGTATGGTAATATTTTGGATTGTTGCTTGGATTGACAATATTTTGTCAATTTTTCCCTGGGATGTGTGTAATGTGATCAAGTTTATTATTACAGTGGAAACTTCAAATTTTCAATATCCTGACTAATCCATTTAAATTTTCAAACTTAAAAAGGCATTAACCTGTTTCTGCATTTAACTTTTTTTAAGAAAAACAAAAGAAGTAGGGCAAGAAGAGAAGTCAAGCAGATTTGGGGAAATGAAGTCATTTATGTCATCACCCCATTTCATATTATGCTTGACACTAGCTACCTCAGTGTGATTTAGTTTTCAATTTTTTAAAGTTATTTATTGGGGGAAGGGGGAGAGAAGGGGAAGGGCAAGAAAGAGAGGGAGAGTGTGTGTCAGGAAGCTTTAGGGAGGGTAGCGTCATAGGAGGGGGATCTGCAAGCAATGAAAGGAAGAAGCCAGCTTCCTGACCATTCTTTGTAACTGCAAATCCCCTATAAAGTAGGAATGGAAGCAGCAGCACATAGGCATCTCAGAGGAGCAGTAGAGACTTCTTGGCATGCAACTCAACATGGTTCTAAGCTGAAAATATAGCTAATTGAAGGAGATAAAGTGAACAAGGATTGTGAGGGGGCTCACAACCGAAAACCTTCAATTTTGACAGGTGAGGAAAGCAGTTTTTATTAGACAGAGGGAAGAAAAGGAAATACAAAGATGCTCTTCACCTAAGAATTCTAAGGAAAAACATCCCCAAGTTTTTATAGTTAATATAAGTAAAAAACATATGCACACTTCTTTTTCATAACCTTTTGACACACTGTCATTTTCAATCCAGCAGAAGCCTAAGCTACAACTCAACATACTAAAATTAAACTAAAAGGTATTCTGCATTCAAACTACACAAATGGTTGAATTTAGGCAGGGCTTAACTAAGGGTATGATCTACACTACGAAATTAGGTCAATTTTATAGAAGTCCATTTTTAGAAATCTATTTTATACAGTTGATTGCGTATGTCCCCACTAAGCGCATTAAGTTGGCGGAGTGCATCCTCACTACCATGGCTAGCATCGACTTACAGAGCGGTGCACTGTGGGTAGCTATCCCACAGTTTCCGCAGTCTCCGCCGCCCATTGGAATTCTGGGTTAAGCTCCCAATGCCTGGTGGGGCAAAAACATTGTCGCGGGTGGTTTTGGGTACATGTCGTCAGTCGCCCCTCCCTTCGTGAAAGCAATGGCAGACAATCATAGAATCATAGAACGTGAGGGTTGGAAGGGACCTCAGGGGGTCATCTAGTCCAACCCCCTGCTCAAAGCAGGACCAATCCCCAACTAAATCATCCCAGCCAGGGCTTTGTCAAGCCTGACCTTAAAAACTCCTAAGGAAGGAGATTCCACCACCTCCCTAGGTAACCCATTCCAGTGCTTCACCACCCTCCTAGGGAAAAAGTTTTTCCTAATATCCAACCTAAACCTCCCCCACTGCAACTTGAGTCCATTACTCCTTGTTCTGTCATCTGGTAACACTGAGAACAGTCTAGATCCATCCTCTTTGGAACCCCCTTTCAGGTAGTTGAAAGCAGCTATCAAATCCCCCCTCATTCTTCTCTTCTGCAGACTAAATAATCCCAGTTCCCTCAGCCTCACCTCATAAATCATGTGCTCCAGCCCCCTAATCATTTTTGTTGCCCTCCGATGGACTCTTTCCAATTTTTCCAAATCCTTCTTGTCGTTTCGTGCCTTTTTTCCTGGGTTACCTGTGAAGACGCCATACATGGCAAGCATGGAGCCCGCTCAGCTCACCGTCACTGCTGTTGTTGTGGGCAAGTCTACTGTGGGGGCTGGTGTGATCCAAGCAGCATTCTGTTATCAAGGGTAGTGACTCTAGGAAACGTGCAGGCCTTTTTAGATTTTAGGTGCATCATATTCCTGTCATTTGTCTCTGGTGAAGAAGTCTTGCAGCCGTACATTCCAGTCCTGTTGGCGCTGTAACACCCCATAGCACTTCTGTGGCTGACACATGTAACAGCTCCAGAGTTCTTGCTCTTTTGCCTTGACCGAGGTACCTTGCCCTACCAGGACCTCCAAGCATTCAACGCAGAAATACCTGCAGCAGCTGGCATTGCTACATAGTAGCAGCTCCTTGCCTTCGCAGCAGACGGTGCAGTAGGACTGGTACCCATCCTCGTCAGAAATGTAGCTTGGCCGGGGGTTCTGGGAACATCTTCCCTGCCTGGCTCCTAGCAACCTCCAGGGCACGGTGTACAGCTCCACCACTTCCCATGGCTCATGAAGCCTGGACAGTAGTAAGGAGCAGCTCAACTATAGGCTGAGCAAATGCAGAATGGTGGTAGACTGTGCCTTTGGACGTGTAAAAGCTCACTGATGCTGTTGGTCAGACCTCAGTGCAACCAACATGCCCATTGTTATTGCTGCTTGCTGTGTGCTCAATAATATCTGTGAGTAAGGGGGAGATGTTTATGGCGGGGAGGGAGGTTGAGGCAAATCGCCTGGTGTCCGATTTTGAGCAGCCAGACACCAGGGCGATTAGAAGAGCACAGCAAGGCGCACTGCACATCAGAGAGGCTTTGAAAACCAGTTTCATGACTGGCCAGGCTTTGGTGTGACAGTTTTGTGTGTTTCTCCTTGATGAAAACCCGCCTCCTTTTTGATTTGAATTCCCTGTAAGCCAACCACCCTCCCCCCTTCGAAATAAAGTAACTATTGTTTTGAAACCATGCATTCTTTCTTTATTTTTTTTTAAAAAATGAGATAACGGACAAGGTAGCCCGGGTGGGATGGGGGAGGAGGTAAGGATAAGGCCACATTGCTTATTGTAGCCACACTAAAAATCAAACTGTTTGAATGACAGCTTTCTGTTGCTCGGGCCATCCTCTGGAGTGGAGTGGCTGGGTGCCCAGAGCCTCCCCCCTCCCGCATTCTTGGGCATCTGGGTGAGGAGGCTATGGAACATGGGGAGGAGGGTAGGTGGTTATACACTGGATGCAGCGGGGGTCTGTGCTCTTGTTGGCTTTCCTGCAGCTCCAACAGACGCTTCATCATGTCTGTTTGCTCCCCCATTAGCCTCAGCATTGCATCCTGCTTCCGCTCTTCGCGCTCACTTAATTCTTTCCTGGCCTCTGCCACTGAATGCCTCCATGCATTACGCTGTGCCCTATCCGTGTGGGAGGACTACATGAGCTCGGAAAACATGTCATCATGAGTGCGGTTTTTTGCCTTCTAATCTGCGATAACCTCAGGGACAGAGATGATAGGGGGAGCGTAGAAACATTCTACGCTCTACGATTCTGAGGGGACTGCATGGTCACCTGTGCTGCTGAGTTCGCCACGCTGACCAAACAGGAAATGAAATTTAAAAGTTCACAGGGCATTTCCCGTGTGTCTGGCTAGTGCATCGGAGTTCAAAGTGCTGTCCTGAGCGGTCACAATGGAACACTCTGGGATAGCTCCCGGAAGCTAATACCATCGATTTGCGTCTGCACTACCCCAAATTCGACTCAGCAAGGTCGATTTTAGTGCTACTCCCCTCGTCGTGGAGGAGTACAGAAGTCGATTTTAAGAGCCCTTTAGGTCAACGGAACGGGGTTGGTTGTGCGGACGCAGTCATTTTTAAATCGATCTAACGCAGCTAAATTCGACCCAACCCCGTAGTGTACACCAGGGCTTAGCCTGACCAGAACTCAACCATTTTTCCTAGTCAAGACAAACCTGCAGCTAAAGAAACATAAGCACCTCTCTCAAACTCTCTTTTAATAAGCCTCTAACCCAAGTCCCCTTTTCCCAGCTAAAAAAATTCTTATATCATCTCCAAATGTGCAATGAGAATTTGAAATAGATTGTTTTCTAATTAAGGTGTGTTCAGTTGTTTAGTATCCATTTCTTCCAGTAAAGGAAAACTATACCCATCTTGCTCAGCTCACAGTCAGGAACTTAAAAATGTGAGAAACTTACCACCTTAAACAAAAAAATAAGGTATCTAACAGAATTAAAGGTTTTCTTATTACAGTTGATATTGGGAGCAGCTACCTTGCTAAAAATGTGATGTTGCCAATGTCCAAGTAACTTATCAGCAAGATGGCTGCTACCAGCGATAGGATTTTCAAATGCATTTAGGTTATAAGTGGTTTTTCACCTTTTGAATTTTCAGAGTGGGCTCAGAAAAATAAGTAGTGTTTTCCTTCACTAGCATTTGCAAGTATTAATCACCATGTTGGGGCATGACAAACTGATTTTTGATTAGGTTCTCTGTCTTCAGAGCTGATTGAGAGAAAATATATCTAGTTTGTCTATTTTTTCTCCCTAAACGTAGATATACTAGGTATTAGAAGCCTCTTGGACTCTTCAGTTCTGTTTACGCATATGTTTATGTATTCTTTCCCAAAATGTTTATCAGAAACATTTGCACAAAAATAGTGTCTTTTTCCTTAGCTGACTTCCACTGAGAGAGATGCAAGTCACACAGCTGTCAGCAATAACACAATTAGCTGCTATGGAGAGAATTATGTCCTCACAAACAGACAATAATGTCTTCAATGAATTAATAAGGAACAGGAGGTGACAAACTTAAAGGATACAGAGGCCCTGTATTCATCCAAATGTCTATTACAACAAATTAACAGAAATACCTACATTTAAAATATTTTCAGATTTCCATGAGGCATCATCATTATAAACTATCACTTAAATTTCTTCAATTATGGAAAAATACTTCATTTCATTTCATTTAGAAGTTTCCTGATTTTGGCATAGTACTATACCTGTATTTATTTGGTTGCTTGCTTTAGCCAGGGATCCAGTGTTATTCCTGCTGAAGTTGTCTTGAGCTGACTGAAAATCTGAAGTGGACCATGATGTAGAATTATATCCCAAAGGAACTTGCTGTTGCAGTGTACGAGGTACAGTTGAACTTTGATCAGGAAATGTATTAGTCTCTTCAAACTGTCCAACAGCTGGAAGGCTCTGGGAAGTAAATACCTGCCCATATGGACTACCAACAGACATGGAAGGATAGGAAAGGTTAGGATACACAGCACGAGAGACGGTAGGCATGGCATAATGACCAGAAGAAAGGGGAAATCCCTGAGACGCAACTGAAGAGCTGGTTGAAGAACTGTAGTGACTACTCAATGCAGAATACGACTGTGGAACACTTGTATGTAAATGGGATGCAGATGATATTGCTCCTTGGGTAAGTCCTCCAGCTGACTCCACAGGATGAGGAGCCCCACTGTACAACTGCTGTGTGTTCAACATGCTGGGACCCACAGAAGTTGTCATGACACTTTGCACTGGTATTGAATAGCAAGCAGAGTGGTAATCAGCAACATACTGGTTATTCAACTGCGAGGGGACAGCTTCATGGGGCACTGGTGGGTAGCGTCTGGAGGAAGCACTATAGTTTTCAAGATGTAAGCCATATCCAAAAGGGAATTGCATCTGATTTTGCACTGGACCTGAAAAGAAGAGAAAATGTCATATGTATTGAAGTTGTATGGGTTACATACACCTTTATCACAGTTGGTTGACACACAGACAGACTGGGGCAGGGGTAGGCAACCTATGGCACAGGTGCCAAAGGCGGCACGCGAGCTGATTTTCAGTGGCACTCACACTGTCCGGGTCCTGGCCATTGGTCCGGGGAGCTCTGCATTTTAATTTAATTTTAAATTAAGCTTCTTAAACATTTTAAAAACCTTATTTACTTTACATACAACAATAGTTTAGTTATATATTATAGACGTTTTGAAAGAGACCTTCTAAAAATGTTAAAATGTATTACTGGCACGTGAAACCTTATATTAGAGTGAATAAATGAAGACTCGGCACACCACTTTTGAAAGGTTGCCGACCCCTGGACTGGGGGATCAGTGTGCTTATTAGCATTAACATGCCAGCAGGAGGAGCAAGCAACCAACAGCATCAAAAAAGGAAGCTACTTCCAAACAGTGGAAAGGACAGAATGGTTAAAGTAGCAGACATTTATGTGAAAATAAAATACTTAAAGCAGTTTATATACACATACAAAACACAATTTTCAAAGTTCCATCTCAGATATTTGAAAATGTGTTGTAAAAAGTTTTCCCCAAGCTAAGACGCTACATGTCATTTATATTTGGAGGATTATTTTTTAAACAAACATGTTAGAAAGCCCCTGAAAAAGAAAGGTATTTGTAACAGAAAAATAAGTAACATTACCTGGCACATTTGGTATTTATAACAGAAAAATGCCAATATGATAAGGTACTTCAAAAACAACCTGCTAAATGTGATAGGAAAATAAAATCCTGCGCTCAAACCGATCCGTGGATAAAAGTTAGTAATACTTAGTTTTATGAATTCTTAAGAGATGACTAAAGTGAAATGCTGAGTTGCTATTGCTTTTTCCAGTCTGCTCTCACATTGTTTTTGAAGTCTGCGCTTCTACAAAAGCCCAGCTATAAACATACAGTATCCAGGAAGATAGCTCTATTTCCATTCATTGCCCCATAGTCCTCCGGTACAAGCCAGTGACTGCCAAGTACTTTTAGTTATATATGAATTTCTCATTTGTTTTTCCCACTCTAATTTGGTTTGACAGGATAAGCTGCTTGCATCAAATACGCTTTCATCTTTGCCAGGGCTACTGTGCATCCATACATTCACAGAGCAACTTGTGTTTTGAGTTCCCTGTTTGTACTTAATCAAGTACCCTAGCCAGCACAGAATAAATCAGGGAGCAGCTGGATAAAGTAACCTACCTTCTAAGGGTATGTCTGCACAAAATACAGTACACATTATAAAATAAAGTTGCACTGGTTTAACTTAATATGTGATGTTAAACCCACTTAGCTAAACCAGTGCAAAAGACTGTAGACATTCTTATTTTGGATTTAAATGAAACTAAAATAAGCCTGGTTTAAACCCAAAATGAGTCCACACAGTCTTTACACTGGTTTAAAATGTGATTTAAGTTAAAATGGTGCAGCTTCTGTATGTAGAGAAGGCCTCAGTATGCATTTTGGGGAGGTGAACATTTCCACCTTGCCAGGTACAACAGATTTTGGAACAGAGATAAAGTTCTGACTGTAGGTGGGTTGCATTCACTGCAGAAACTGACCTCAGTGCATCAATGCAACTGGTCCTGCAACAGTACACACCCCTATCCCCATATACTCCCCATCTCCCCGGGTGCAGGCCTGGCAAGGACTTCCACTATTAATAGTAGCTGTGGTCCAATTTGACCATACACCACATATCTGTTTATATAAACAGGCTGGACCACAATAAATCTAAAAGTCGGTTCCTCTCAGGCTCTTTTCGTTAACCCACTAGACAACTATTTTCTATTTGAGGATAACCTCTCTCTCATGGTTCTCTTTTAAAATTATTACTAGAACTGACTTACAATCACAACAAAACAATCCATTGTTGGGTCACGCTGAGCTCAACTCTGACAAGACATGACAACATGTCATCAAGGCAAAAGCAAAAGGACAAGTTTCACAACAACTGAATGTTGATGTATGACAACCTTAATTTTGTGTTTAACGCTGTTTGGCATAAAGGACAAGTGAACTTATCTTAAGTTTTGTTCTTTAAATGAAATGCACAGAAAATGACAAGTTACTAAAAACAGTGAGAAATATTTCCATACAAAAACATTAAGAACATAAGAATGGCCATACTGGGTCAGACCAAAGGTGCATCTATATCCCAGTATCCTGATTTCCAGCAGTGGCCACACCAGGTGCCCCAGAGGGAACGAACAGAACACGTAATCATCAAGTGATCCATCCCGTTGCCCATTCCCAGCTTCTGGCAAACAGACTCTAGGGACACCATCCCTGTCCATGTTGGCTAATAGCCATCGATAGACCTATCCGCCATAAATTTATCTAGTTCTTTTTTGATTAATTTGAAGAGCAGTTTGAATATTGTAGCTATAAATAAATTAAAATTAGTCATGACTATGCACTGGTTGTCCAAAGCTGCCTTCTGATTAGCTGATAGAGCCTTTTTGAAATTACACGTCATTATGTTCAATAGATGAAGAAGAAAGGTAATGGAGGAACAAAGATAATGTACCCTATGATGACAGGAAATGGCGAGAGAGTTTGGAAGGAGCAGTGAGGGGCTGAAGGAAAAAAAATAGGGTGACAGTTTAAACAGCCTCCTTCTCCAATGTGCCAGGGTGCCCTTTCAGCAGCAATTTATGGCCCTTTTGGCACCCTCTAATCCAGCGGTCTCAAACACGCGGTCCACGAAGTTATTTTCTGCGGCCCGCAAGCTCTTCGCACCCCTTCCCCTCCCCTCCGCCCTCCCCCAGCGTTTACCTAGAGTGGCTCCCTGCCTGTCTGCCTGCCCTGCCCCCGCGCCGGGAAGCAGACGGAACATGGGGAAGGGGACACACAGGGGACTGTGTGTTGATCTTGCTTCAGGCAGCGCCCCCAGCAGCTCCCATTGGCCGCGGTTCCCCATTCCTGGCCAATGGGAG